GTAATTGATAAATCTTTGTCAATTATTCAAGTAATGAAATTAACGCCTTCATGACAAAAATGAGTTTTACTCAAAATTCCAAGACAAGATATACAACTAAAGCATGTAAACATATCTTGTGTGAGTGCCAATGCTTAGAATCTACGTGCTTAATTGTGCGTGTCTGTGGGTGCGGAAGTTTATTTGTACGTGTGGGGCTTCATATGCGTGCGACCACAGGTGTGTGCAGACGCATTGGGCCGAGTGCGTTCGTGTGCGCTTTTGAAGCATGCCATTACATGTGTGAGTGCATGTCTTCTTGTACGCACGCGTGTAGGCGATGGGCATGTGTAGATGCACAAGTGGAAGCGTTGGTGTGGGTGGGTTTGTATTGGTGTTTCTGCGTTTGCAAGTGAGTGTTGGTGTGTGCACAGATGTGTGAGTGGTCTGTGCGACTCACTGTTGATGCATACAGCATATACCCATCTCCTACACACGGACGCAAGTGTGCGTAGGCACATACCCATTATCTACTCGAGTGCAGACAGCAGTCATTCAACCTGTGTGTATAAGTTGAGGCGTAGTGCATGTGCGTTTGGCTGTTTGTGTGTAAGCATGTGTGCAGGATTTTGTGTGGTAATGTCACTGGTTGCGAAAAAACGAGTTATGAAAATGGTGGTGAGTTTATCAGTTGCAATTATTGCGTTTTTGTTGAGATGAAGTCGCTGTAGAAAGACTGCTGCCTGGGATATAAGTGTGTGGTATATGTATGAGCTATTTTGTATTTAAATTATGCGTTCGTACGTGTATATTTGAGCATGTTTTCTGTGAATCTATGACGTTCACCTTGCCGCATGTGAGTCCATATCGATACAGAAAGCGTATTTTCTGTTGCACGAGTTCGTGTGGGCACATGCATTAGTCCAATTGCGTTCGTGTGTGCTTCTGTATGCTTGCGGATGTGTGCCAGCACATGTGTAAGTTCATGTGTTTTTATGTACGCGTGTGTTCGGATGTGTTTCTATGGGACTGCGATGTGCCAGCGCACACGGGTGAGCATGCATGTTTGCATAGATTTCTGCTTTTGTGCGTTCGTGGGGACTGACCAACCAATCAGTAGGAATACAGAGACGTTCATGCCATTTAAATTCATAGCAATGCGTGTTGTGCGTGGTAAGAAAGAAGTGAGAAGACAGATTTTGAAAAATCGCTGAAGTCGATTATCACGCAGCTAATTATATTCTCTGCATATTATGAGGGACAAAACAATAAAGCAGATTATGTCGGGAATTGATGAATATTAGAGTAGTAAATATGCATTGCGTAGATAGTCAATTAGAAATCAGTCTTGTATTTTGCATTCAAAGGGAATTTGCCTCTAAAAAGCTCACACT